CATTTTGAAAGACTGAAAAAGCCCATTTTCTGCTGGAAAATAAAACTACTCTCGCAACCAACATTCCTGGTGTTTCCTCCGTTCTTCCTTGTGTTTTTCCTTTATTCGGTTTCCGGGTTTTCTTGTCTCTCCGGGGAGAACTGACAGAGGGATGCGACTCTTCTGTCCGTGACACCTGCAGGAAACGCATTTTACTTTACGTCTCGTACGATTTCTTGCATACATCTTCATTGAGAAGATCTGAGTGATTTGTGGAATGAAATTGCGGAAAATTCGTAAAAAATTTCCCATTAATTTCCACACTTTGCGACTTACCTTCTTCATTGAAAAATCCGCATTTCAATTTCCGCCAAAAACTGGTTAATGCCGATAAATAAACAACGGGGTTTAATACAAACGAATGGAGTAGAAAAGACTCAATTTGAAGTCTAGGAGTAATTGATAAATCCGAGTGCACGAGTCCGCAATTTTTCTCTGCCCCTCAATTTCAAGATATATTCGTTTCAATATTCGCATAACCACTCCCCTCTAAAATCCACCCGACTATTCATCCCGAAAAAAAAATTCCCCGCCCCCCGAAAAATTTGTACGCACTCGAATCACCCCATGTGGAAAATACCAATTTTACTTGAAAAGATACGAGGTTTAACGTTTTGTACACAATCAATGGTACGAATCACCGGTAGAAATGAAATGGTCGAAATGACACGGAAATACGTTTGTTGTGTACGAATCGATTCATCGACACAGATTAATTAACAACGACGAGTGCCCGAGTTAATTATCCAGTTGTGATGAAAATAAAGTTAAAAAAATACGTATATCTGTCGGTCCGTGTGAGTTTGATAAAATCGCTCATCGTTGTCCCTTGAAATCTCGTTGAAACAATTGTCGAATTTCACGAATTTCACTGAAGTACGATGCAAACAAAAACACAGAGGCAATAGGCGGCGAATGATTTGAGGAGAATACGCTTGAAAAAATATGAGCATTGATGCTTTTATATTCACTCGTTGTTTAGTACTCAATGGAATTTCTGCATAGACTGATGGATTGTTAAATTCACTATAAACGAGATCGTCCGCGCGTGCTCCAAGAATTTCGAGGTATCTCGAGATCGATTTCCTTTCTCCTTTTTATATTGGGATTAGAATGTATACATTGAGAGAAAAATATAGGGCCCTGGAGTAATGAAATTTTTCCCAACTTTTCATAAGTGTCATAAAATAATTATCTAAAAAATCAGGAATTAAATTGATTGATGAATTTTTGGATTACATGAACAGAGGAACATTTGAAACATTTGATTTTTCGAAAGCGACAAGAATTTCGGAAAATCAGGACGAGAATTTTTACCAGTTCCGTCAGTTCAAACTAAAATACAAAAATTCAAAACACGTATTCCTCACGGTTGAATGTGAAAAGCCAACGGGAGGAATGTCAGATGCCGGTGAAAACGAGACGATAGCAAGAGGTTTAAACCAGCAAAACCCGGGGCTGTCGAGGATGAGGGGAAGCTACTAATTGCAAAAGCAATTTCCCTCAGTTGGAAAATGGGCGCAAAATTACATTAATTTTATTGATTTAAGGGAAGAGCCTCAAGAGCCGTTCAACTGTGCCTCTTCCCTAGCTACATGAACTGGTGGATATGAAACGTGCACCATTTCTGGAGAAGAAACCGACGACCGAGATGAGCTCTTCCTTGATCTCTCGTCTGCCTCCAACTTCTCTTTTTTTTTCTCATTCCGTCGAGAGCCCTTTGCCATTCAGAATTTCCTTGAGTATTTCCCGCTCTTTTCCATCCATTTGGGTTAATCATTCATTTATCGCGTACTATTAGGAATTATCATGACGGAATATATTTGAAATTGTCTTCTGCATCTGATTCATTCCCCCTTTCAGTCTAGGGCTATGACTACACATTTTAACTCTTGCCTTATATCTTACGGTTTTTTAACCATTTCGATAATTTCGGGGTTCATCCGGGTTAATGAGTGATTTCTATGTGACATTTCTATTTTTTTATTTACGAGTCAAATGTATGCAAAATCAATCATTGGCTGACGGAAAAATTGCACTTTTCAACAAAGTCATTTTCTTCCGGACAAATCGTACATCCGGCCTCTGGATATCACTAATATATATGTACTCACAAATATTCAATGTACTTTCGACATACAGTATATATATTTTTGCGATATTCATGCGGGTGTAATTGATCCATATTTCGCGTAGATACAATGTTCCGGGCGGGCCGTGTCATCAAAAAGCCCAATGGAGTCCATTTTGTCGTCCCTCGAGCACAACTGACCGCATCGGACGCACGTGGTGCCCTCCCCTACTCTCCATTAAAACGTTTAAATGAAAATCGAGTGGTCCTGAGGCGTCCTTGTACGTCCGATGTACGACATTAGTCCATTAAATGGTGACAGAGGCCACAGGACACTCACCACGTACACTGTCCGGTCTCTGTTAAGGCTTGGACGTAACCCACAACTAAAGCCAACGATATTTCCTCTTTATGTTTTCCACCCTCTCGTTTACCCGTTTCCTGCCCTTTACCCTTTCATTCTTCTGTCGCACGCGCCCAACTAAATCCACGAATTTATGAAGCGATTCCACGGAATAACACGCGTTACCAGCCCTTTCAGCGATTTAGAGGCGACGGAAAACAGTGGGAAGACAGTTGGTAATAAGGGTTCATGGAGGAACTTGATTAGCGTGTCCTCATGGGGAAAAAATTCAATTAAGTTTAGAAATTCATCGTTTTGCACTGAAGAAAAGATTTAGAAATAATAGAAACTTACAGACGGTATATTATTTCACGTCAGTTTTATGAACCACTCCTCAGACATTCTTAAAAACTTGAAACATGGGGAAATACTGATAATAATTCCGTAAGCGAACCCGATCGACTTTTTAGGTATTATTTTTTTTTATCCAAAAAGGACGGTCGACGTGAATGAAGCGTAAAATGGAATGTAATATCTTCTTTTGGACGACAGTACTTCCGATTTTAATCCCAAGGAATCCAGAATCTTAGAGAGTCAAGCACGTAAGGTATTATTGCTGAAAATGAGATGAAAAATTCGGATAAAAATGAAATGACAAAGTGCCGCTGATGCGCAGCGTGTCCCCGACGGAACGTGACGAGAATATCCAGCGATTTTGTCTCAATAAAACGTCTTATGTACCGAGAAATAAATCTATATACGGAATAAGACATGAGAAGAGAAAAATAAATGATGAATGAAATATTGTGGAGAGGTAAAGGGGTGGAAGGTGAAGGATTTTTCCCTTGGCCTCTGGTTCCAACTGAAATGGTGGGATGAAAAAAATCAATCGATCTTGACTGCACCGACGCGGAATGCCGAATGAAGATGAGAATATTCGCGGATATTTGGTGGTACATTGAGTTCATTTTATCCATCAGATTTTTTTTTTTCTCGGTGGGCATAAAGCGGATGGAACGCTGGTATTTGTGAAAAATTCAGGGCGTTATTTTTGGCTTGCACCCACAGGATATACATGCCACTCATGCGCATCTCACTTCCATCCATGAATTAACCAAAATGCGACACGAGCCATGAGATTCGCGAGCCTCAAGCTTTTCTGGCAAGCGTTATACCTCGGAACTGAAATTCTTAAAATCATGTTTTATTCAACGTGAAACGAGTCTGTCATACCACATTGCTGGGAAAATATTCGGTTAGCCATGGGTACTCGGTTCATACCATTTATCAAGGGGTTGGGGAGGACGAGCAATTCTTCAGAATTTTTCTGAACTCGGGATTAATGATGAGAGGAAATAATTTATTGCCTCTTTCGCCCGTCAATTGCGCTGTTATATATTCATTGAAATTTCACTTAATTTCTCTTAATTATTGACTGAATTGAATTTTCCTATTACAGCTTCGACTTTTAGACTCGCCGTAAAATTCATCAATTTGTCATTTTCATACGAATTTCAAATTCGCGAAATTTTCCAATTGGAAAACGCACATGTGAATGAATTTCCACTGAAAATATCAATCGAATCGAATTGCTGATTATTATTTGCAAATGGAGATTTCAAGGTGATTCATGACCGAAGAAATTAAAGAAGACATTCCTTGATTCAATCTGCAATTTCTACTTGGCATGATTAGGATAGATTCATAGTCATACGCTTGTGTCAAGTGATTTATACTCGTCACGAGTGATTTTTTATCTCAGTTTAGTCTCAGAAAATGGAGATTTTATTCCTCTGGAGAAGGCAGACATCCTCTGCGCAATGTTCTGGTGCGCAGGGGGTTGAGGGTTGTACTTTACCTCTGGTTATCACGACTTCCTAGATGGGTGGCACTCATAAAATTCACCCGTTATCGTTTACGGCTGCTGCAGCCACCACCGTACGACACAAGTTTTGTTTCTTTCTTTTAGTTTTTCGTTGGGGGTCTGCACTTGTTTAGAGTTTCTTCTCATATCGTGGGGGTTGGGGTGGAGGAGAAGGGGGGTTAACAAATCGGGGGAGTGTATTTTGAGGTTTAAGTTGAGAGGATGGAGCTGGGGCTTGGAGAGTGGTGAAGTTTATGGCTTGTTGGATCAAGTCGTTTCGGGGGATGATCTAGGATTGCTTTTGGATTATTTGCCCTGATGAGGGGTGTTTGCGATTACCCAAGGCTCGATGTGCTCCAAAGATCGACTTATCGCACCGTATGTGCACTTGCTATGTCTCTGGTCAATCTATCATGGCCAAATTAATCTTACAATTTTTCATCTTTGGAAATAAAATCCCAACTCGGAATAGCGATAATTGCAAGGCGTGAAATTATTTATAACGCAAAGTGTAATTTTGATACGTACACTATACTCAAAATGAGTATATTAACGTATCAATATATTCATGCATACATTTTCCTCCAAATCAAGTGTCTTGTCTGACTAAAATTGATTTCTTCTACTTGATTGATTCGGGGAAATATTTCTTATTCTTGAGTATTAATGGGACAATGACTTACTGCAAGCCCCTTGATGCTCCACCCTGGTGTTCTTCCGTTTGCGACAGCTAGCCTGTCGCATCAGGCACTGGTTACCATACGTCACGTCGTCACTACCGCAAACGGGTTCAACCGTCGACGGACAATCCTCGGGACACTGGCACAATCCACGACCGCTCTCCGACACAACACACACCGCACCCCAAGCGCAGAACGTTTTTTCACACGGCTCTGTAATTAAAAAATAATCACATTAAAGTCCCAACCAGTCAACACTGTCTCCAGCCATAAATTTTACCGTGCTTTTTAAAATTCCCCCACCCCCAAACTGCCGAAAAACTGGACATTAACTATCCTCGTTATTCCCTTTTTGTCGAGAATAAACTTTTCATCCGTCGTTGAGATGAAAAAAACTCCTAGCACATTAATTGTATCTACCATTTTATTTTATTGCGGTACAGATATCTCATTCGCAACTTTTTTTCAACCCCAAACTGAGCCATCCAGACCTCCCCCAGTGTGGAAAGCGAGCAAAACGAGAACAAAAATGGGGAAAAAGAAAAAAAAAATAAAATAACCGAAAGAAAGGAAGAGAGAGTCGAAGCTTTATATTGTGTGGTTGCGACGCTGGGATTTAACGACCACGACGACAATGGCATCAGGAGTGCGACGTGACCCGCAATATTTCGAGAAAGTGGAGATAGAGAAATGTCGGATGACGAAAAGCCGTTGGCACGCAGAAAACTGCAAGGGGTAAAGGGGTGGTGTCGGCAAAAAGCTTTGGAGAAAGAAATTTAAAAAAATATATGGAATATGAATCAACTCTCAGGATGAATGTGTGAAGTCGACTGTTTTCCCACCATCTCTCAACTTCTCACCGCCAGAATAACGGATAAAATCTATTTGTGATGCAATTATTTTGATCGATAATTCAGTGAGAGAGACAGGGAGTTTAAATTACCATTTAAATAGAGGGGGAGAGGTAGTATTTTTATTGCGTTCAAATCCTCTCAGAATTTAAAAAAATCTCGGCATTGAAGGAGTCAATCCAATATTTTATTATTTTTCGTTTCAAATCATCTGAAATTCCGGAACTCTAGAAAAATGGGTACAGTAATTTTTCTGTTAATATTCACTAACTATTTTCGATATCCGAAGAAATAAGAGCTAATTCCCACCTCGTTAATTTAAAACGCCCTGTGATTGACACTAAAAATCCCAGAAATCTGTTCTAGATAATCCCCGATCATTAATATAGCAGACGACTTGATCCCACGGAGAAGACGAAAAAAAAAATGGCTCGATTCACCCTAGACTGGGTCAATCGTCTTTCTCAGGGAGAAAGACGGAATTTCCTTTTCTGTTATTTCTTACCATTGACGTATAAGCTTCTTTATCCACTTCTTTGGGTCTTCCGGGACGTTCTCTCAAGCCTTCACGAGGAGATTAGTGAGTTGAAATCGTCAACCTTCCTTACAAACTTATCTCCCGGCGACGGATTAAAAAAAAGGCGCCAACTTTGAGACATTTCTTCTTTTCACGGACCCAAATCTCAACGAAAAGGAAATGTCTCAGAATGAACTGATTTCTCACTGTTTGTTACCCCGATGGACATTATTCAACCCTGCAGAAGGCATTTCATGACGCCAGCAGTCGTTCTTCACGTTTGCCTATTTTATTTTCCCTTTCTTTCTTGGTTGGTTGCTCGGTGGAGAATGGGGTTAACTCCTCGCAATGTCGCTGATACGATCGTGTATGGGTTTAGTGCCGTATTTCACGTTGTTTATAACAGCCATCCGGGGGGAAATTTTAGCGCCCCAGCGTTGACGGTAAACAGGGCTAGGTTAAGTAGCTAATGCCCCGTCCAAGGGTCAACGCTCTAGTCATTTGATCCATTCTCGTGTCAACTTCGTGCATAAATATTGTTATTTTTTTCCACTGTCGTACGTAAAGAAGTTTTCAGGATTCTCGAGGGAACGGACTTACGCCGGGAAAATTTTATTGAGTTATTCTCGGGTACCGGTGATGGTTCCACACCGGTTTTCGATCGATAGTACAGACTCTGGATATTGGCGGAAAAATATTACAGGGAGAGATTCTTTGGGAAAATTGCGGGGTGTAAACGGTTTTCCGTGATTTTACGATTTTCCAATTATTTTTTTGTTCAATTTTTTTTCGGACTCTTCGCTGACTTTCTGCACCTGCGTATCAATTTTTAATAGATTTTTTTCAGATTTTAGAGATTTATTAATTATGCTAAAATATTTATTATATATATATATAAGTTTGAATTTTCATCAATGTGAAAAGTTTCTCAAAATGCATGGAAATCAAGTGCAACAGCTCAATGAATGATGAAACTAGTTTCCCGATGATATCCGCATGTTTAATTTAATCAAAAAATTCAAGTACAGCAGAATGTGCGCCAGATTAAGATCTAATTGTGGTCATTCAATTATTTTCAGGTAGAGAGTACGTGCCAACGTGAGAGAAAGGTGGAAAATCCAACAGAAAAGGTTAGAGTTTATGTACTTCAATGTCGGTGTAAACATTGGTCAGTTGGCGTGACCAGAATGACCACGCGGGGTTGGAATAGACCTAGGGCTTTCGGCCCGAGGTATTTTTTTAAACCCCTGTCTTCTTTAAAAACACATGATCAATTTTTTTTCGCTGGGTCTCATCCAGTCTAAACACACGCTCGGTTTATAAAGGATTCTGAAATAATTTTACAGATGTGGATTTCCAATGAATACACGGTACTTGGAAATTCATGAAATTTTTTTACTCAATATTGAACATATCTCGCGCCATTTGACGATGAAAATCATACGCGGTGCATTATGCTTGCAACTTGTTTTTAAAGTGATGGAGGAGGAAAAAATAGGCCAAGTAATATCTTCTTATTCCGAGGGTGATATCATCCGTCATGATCCGTCTTGTCCAGCGGTCGTACTCCGCAATTACTTATCAACCTTGGGGAAGAAAAATTAGAGGCGAGACGGAGAAACGGGACAGATGATGCAGGAGTTTTAATAAATTGATTTTTCTGGGGCAAGTTTCATAATTTATATATTAATCATCGGGGCTGTGCGCGGACGTAAACACGTAATTGTCGTGTAAATTGCATAATTCGGGAAATTAATGACGAGTGAATTAGGAAGGAGTTAGAATTGTTTAATTAATTGCAATCAATTCCTCAATTATTAACTTCATAAGAATTCTGATAACTTCTAAAAATTTTGAGTGACAGTCTTACCTAAATTATTACAATTAATATTACAACAAAAAAATAATAATTTCATGCAAATTCCGCTTTCGAGGATTTATTTTTTTCCACTTGAGATTTCAAAGGGAATTTTTCTGGCCATGTTCGGGAGATAATATTCCCGAGTCATAAACGATTCGTTCTCTTATATGAGGTTTGAGCAATAATTCAGGATTTTAATCGCGCAGTAATCAACTTGAACTCATCAACATTAATTTCCATCAAAGGAGAGATTTACATAACCCCATCAAAATCAAATCACTAGAATTTCTCTAAACTGTTAGTCACGTGAATTTGTCTCCGGCCGGACTTGCGTAATATTTGTTACATCTGATTGGAGCCCGCTGGCATTGGGTGTGTTTCCGTCTGCACAAAGAAATCCACGACCAGATGAAATCGAAAAAATGTTAAAAAACGTTGACAAAAATCAACTACGCAAAAACTTCCCAGCGGAAAAAAAACCCTTTGAGGGAGCATGTTTCCATCCAATTCATTACCGTATATTTGCACGATCCTGTAGAAATATTGAAACAGGTGAATTCACTTGTGCAAATAAACAGAATACATATTTTAATATACCAAGATTTTCCAGCAAAATTCCCTTTGAAAACGGAAACGCCAGTTCTGAAAATACTCCACTAAAATAAATAAAAGTGTCGATCAAGTATTTACACGAGTGATCGCTATTCAATCCTTTTTTAGTTGATTCAAGTTCGAAATTATTCGAATCATCCTGATTCAACTGTATAATCGATTGCGAATAGAATATTTGAATAACGCGATTTAATCGTTCGCCGTGATTGATTTTAATTTTGATCTGAGCGTAAGCAACAATTGATCGTCTTTCTGCTGGCAAATCTCCTGATTCGCCCTGTGTGCTGAAAAAATTAGAGCCCCCGACACTGAGAGGAAGACGAAACTAAATTAGTGCCAGTCGAGCTGGCGGAAAAGTCGAGGAGATTACGTATAGACGAAGAGAAGACAGAAGCGAAAAGACGGGAAATAAATAAGCCATTGTCAGTTGACTGTGGTTGGACCTCCTGAAGTAGCCGACCAGAATCTTCAATAGTTATCCCTCCGCTTTCTTCATTTCACTTCTGAATCTTTTCAATACATCGGACAATAGCGTACCTCGTTATCGCCCGGCTCATGAACTCATTCACCAGTTGATTCATTTCATTTTCCAATAATGTCGAACATTTTCATTTGAAGAATATTATTTTCCTACACTTTGTGAAATTACTCTCAACTTCAAATTAGAATCCATGAGATTTTTAGTCACGATAAAGTGACAAGAATTTGCTGGAGTTCTTTTCTACGAATCAAATCACTAAATTTCAGGCTCGTTATTTTTCCGATCGTTTTTATCTCCATTATTGTCAAACCGAATGATGAACAACAAGAACACGGGATACTAATTGGTTGAAGAGCTTTATTAATTGGAGAATTCGCAGTGTTTGACGCAAAAGACGCAAAGGAACAAAGCCACTCTGAAAGTTTCTCAAAAGACAAAGGTTACTGCAGCGCTTGACGATATTCTCGAGAAGATAGACCATTGAAACACGATTCGACGGAGAATGAACAACAATATTGCAGGTTTCGTGACAATTCAAGGGATAGCGCCGTTCAAAATTCAATTAAATTCAAATAGACTCTGTCAACTCGAATCGAGTAAGAATGACTTATTTTTTGGGTGTATCTCAATAGTCACTCGGTTATATAAATTGTGTCCTTCGATCATCCTTCGAATCCAAACGTAACTCCACTCAGTGCAATCAAAGAGCCTTCGAGAGTCGAGATAAATCCGCGGAAGAAGCCTGGAATTCGATGCCAGAGGGAACTGTACTTGTGATTGTGTTCTGGAGGACTTTTGGAGACGGGGTGGAATGTGTTAGACAGGATAAAGCACGGGGGATAATAGCTATTATATTCTGACATGAAGGAGAAGTTTATCTTTCGTAAGATGATCGTAGATATATGGTGGACTTCTACCGTTACCCCTGCCACATCTACACCCATTAAAACTTGACTAACCAAATAATTTCGATGCTGCAATGCCGTTGAAATTATTCCGAAAGTTGACGGTACACATGAGGGAATCTGCTGAACAATCTTTAATAGTCAATTACCAATCCATCATTCAGTTATAATTGTCTATCGTTAACAATGGAAAGCCAATTTCAATAATTATCTTCAGATAAAACTAAAAAGAAATATTGAATCCAGTCGAATGAAGTATTCAGCTCGATTTATATTTAAATAAGAATCATCTGAAGTTGACACGGACTTGATTCAAACGATTTGAATCAAATTAAACAATGATTTGAATTGATTTGATGAATGCCATCAGTTTGACACGGGTTAAAACGATTGCCGTCATGATTAAGTTCGACTTGATCCAGAGGGATTTATTTTTTAATGCTCAGACCTCCACCTCCATCCCTTAATAATCCTTCATAATGACATTCCACCCTCGCAGAACAACGCGCGTAATTCAGAGAAGCTCAACTTAAAAAATGACATACCTCTCGCGTACCCTGCGCGCCACGAGCGCCTGCCTTGTGTAACTGACACAAATATAATTCGTAGCAATTTTTATTACGTCAAGTTGAAATGAGAGAGGACGAGGGGTGAGTTGGCGTAGCGTCTAGTGTTCTCGTAAAGATGTAAAGGGAAATAATGGGTAGTTGAGAACGAGGAGTAAGAGGTAGCAAGACGAGTGTCGTATAGCATACGACCCGGCGGATTGTGTTAATGGCTCCCGGAGTGAAATTCAACACAGTCCAACTACCTCGCAATAGTTGTACATCTGGTTATTACGTCTAAAGGCTTTCACCATTCTACCCAAGTTTTCAGCTGTCGAAGAGCTTCGCCTCGCAATTCCCCTATTTTGATTATTAAACAACGATTACAGTGTTACATTGAGATTGGCGTTGTTGGAGGCAGTTTAATCGATGCCCATTATGGACTGGATGAATAATAATAAGGATGTAAGGGTGAGCATGGATCGATGGGGTTGGACGAGACATTCAACTAATTATCGAAGCTTCCACTAATTAATGCTATGGAATGCAAGCGGGGACGAGTGAACCCATGGTGGTAATCAGTTATCCCTGAGCTGTGCTACGGTGAATTTCGGGTATTCGAGGTGTAGCACTCGTGTTCGTCATGATATTTTGTCCGGAACGGAGTTCTTAAGAACTTCTGGCTTTTTGGGATGCTTGATATTCAACGAACTTTACTCAAACGGTCATCCGAATTAGCAGCAGGAGGCTTAAGTCAATTGAAGACTTAGGAGTTCTCATCTGATTCTCAAAACTCTAGAATCTCGCATTGAACTGAATTCGATGGCTCTCAGCTTTGATGATATTCTATTTGTAACGGAGTTCTTGAGGTCTCGATTGTCAATCCATTGATGGTATGATCTGGCTGGTCTTAGTGATGAATGTGTTCGTGGGGGAGTGACAGCATTGCCTCAATTACCGAGTGGTCAGCGAGGTCCTGGACAAGGAGCTCGCCGAGGATCAATCGCATGCAAGCACGTATTATCCTTCCGGGACGTTTGATCTTCAGTGAACATAACGGGGCATCATGTGGCACAGGAGGAGTGCATGTCACGAGGCACTTCAACATCAATCGTCATCTCGTCACTTCAACGTCGAACCACTGAGAGAATGGACGGGGTAGTCATGGACTTGGCCCATGATCAGAACTGACGACAAGGACGAGTTAAAAGCGCCACACAAAATCCATGATTCAGCCACCGGAATTTTGGATTTCTATTAATTCTCCAGAATCGTTGAAAGTAATTCACCAATAATTTGAGATTTCGGGACATCCATCCATTCATTTAATTGTTTAATTCACCGACCCCTGGTGAGATAACAATCCTCGATTATTCGCTTATGCCTGGTGATCAATTAATTATCGATAGCTCGCGGTGGATCTCTAGAGTTCTGGATATTCCGGTGATGTTGAGCGCTAATTAGATGGTCCAAATATTGAAATGCTGATCGAACTTGATGATCGTATTGCGAATGCGCCAGTGATCAGCTAGGGGGTTGGAATTTTGATGTTCACATGCTTTCAGGAAATTCGTGTTCACGTTTCCTGGGTTGTGAGATCGATTATTACTCCAGGGCGAATGATGTTGACCGTGAACATGTGGTCAATGACGCTTGGAATTTTGAAATCAATAAGATTCACTCAGTCAGTACGCATAATTACCCGTGATTCCTATCCACCCCTAGCT